AGGGCATAAATCTGCAGCATGCCAGCCACTCACAAACTGCTGGATACACATGTGAAAGGAAGTTAAACCAGCTGCATGGAAATGCCAGCAAGCTGCTCCCAAATTTTCCATGGTATTTTTGTCACAGCTGGGGCAAACCCACCTTGTTTTCAGGAGTCTGTGTCACAACATCACAGACTATTTCAGTTAGGACAGCTTGATTTACCACGGATTAACCCATTCCTATGCCCATGGCCTACAGCACATACCCCCACACACCAGAGCAGCTCAAACACGGCTTATCAGGAGCTGACAGCCCTCCACAGTGCAATGCTCTAGTGGCAGCACCAGGTTTGCTCAGCAGAATAAATGTTCAGTTTGTTAAGAAGGTGAGAAGCTTCCCCTGCATTTCCCCATGGTATTGTGAGGAGGCCAAGCACAACTCTGGATTCACTGTAGCTACATTCAAAGAGAATTGAAAATAAAATTTTAAATTCTGAAACAGTCAGTGCTGCTTCATTAGTTACAGCCTGCACTGATACAGCAGCTGCTGTTGAGGAAGGTGGAGAGGCAGGATGTGTTTAAAAGGCTCCTAGGCATGTTATTCAAGTATTACACAGGTTCTTGTTTAACTTAGGATACTCCTGAGCCCTGTCCTCTGTTTTTCTGACTTCAAGATCACCTTCTTTAAACATTCCTTTGCAAAATTGTTTCCTATTTTTATATCTCAATGTCATATTTAACTAGCCATTCCCTGAGCTGCATGAAATACTGGCTACTTCCTAGCACCATATATAAGGATGCAGACCAGTATTACCCCATTTCCCAGGCCAAGGGTAAATACTGATGCTTCCCCACACTTCAGAGTTCCTTTCTCCATTCAAGACATCAGAGCTACTTCTGCATTCAAGCATTGACTTCATACAATCAAGGAATTAGAAGCTGATCTCTAAGGCTAAAAATAAAAGCCTTGTCAATGTCATTCACAGTTTATTAGCTCTGATCTGCAGGATTAAATGCCCATGTTTCCAGGATCTTCATACTCTTTCTTACTTATACTTCAGCAATTCTGCCATATTGCAGACTGTTGCGGACTGTGTGTGAAAACAATTGAAGAAACTTCTTCAAATGTATGCATGGTTCTGCATTTATTTTTAATGATCTCTTCTAAATTATTCAATTTCTGCAAAGATAATGGTTAGTGCAAAGTTTGGAAGCCAATCAAACAGAGTTTAATTCCATTTTGAGACTCCTGAAAGTATGATTCATGATCAGAGGGCACAGCAGGACACTTAAGGCTGCCTGCTATTAATTCAGCCACATCTCATTACTACCTGTATCAATCTCCTATGAACAAAACTGCATTGGCTATTGAATTTTCACTCCACGGTCCCAGTGGAAAACAGATTGCAGTGGGTTCAGCAAGCCCACTGCCCCCATGTGCCTCTCCTCCTTGCTTACCATCCTGCAGAGTTGTGACTGCCTCAGTCTCTGCACTGAAGTCACTGTCTCCGATGTCATTGGTTGCTTTCACTCGCAGTTTGTAAGAGGTGAAGGGGTTCAAGCTGTGGAATGTAAAAAACAAGGCTAAAATGTTCCTGCATCATTACAAGACCTCAGAACAAGCCTCTACAGAGAACCTGCCTATTGGCAGCTAAGGACATTGAGCAGTCTGTCTCTTCTCCACATCACCTTTCCTTTGCAGCCTCCCCCACCTGCCTCAGGACATGGGGGTGTTTGCACTCTTTCTGCCTTCAGCATCAACTCAGATTTCCATTAGCCTGCGTTCCTCAATACTCTCATGGATTGATAGCCGAGTTGGGCTCCAGAAAACAGCCATGAAGTTGCAGTTCAGGGAGCAGCCTATGACTGGAGCTTGTTGGAAAAGACATGATTGGCTGTTATTTCTACGGCTGTGCAAAACCTGGCTTTCAAGGAGCTTTGCCTGAGATGTCCTCAAAACTGACCTGTGGGTCAGCTCATGCTCAGTGCATGGATGAGGATGACAAGTAGAGAGGAGGCTGGCAGTGTGCCCAGGGCCAGCCAGGGCACAACAGGCACTGAAATTCTGAGCACCAGCCTTCTGACTCATCCTCTACACTATACTGTTTGATCAGTGTGTTTTATTCCTACTGAATTTCAAATTAATGCTATTATCTGGATTATTTAATAAAGAGAGTAACAACAGGTTCCCTGCAGATCTTTTATCTACGCAGTGCTTTAAGATATACAAAGAGTGATTTCCAACTGACATAACCTTCGCAAAGATCCTTCTGTCTTGGCTTGGCGGGGGAAGGTGGGGGGGAAGCTGCCTTTTGAGTCACTTGCAGAGGCTAGAAATGCAGAGCTGTGAGTTAGGAGGGATTTAGCTAATTAATTGGTAGTGTCTAGCCATCAGCTGGCAGATGTAACACTGACTACAAACCCAAGTAAAGTTACTTGTAAGGAACGATTAAACAGCAAGGGATGATGCATTCTGATGGGCAGTGCTCTCCCATCACCTGTGTACTTCTCTTCTAGACTTTGACAGGAAAATGCTTTTAGCAAGAGGGAGAAGAAACCTCTTTCAATAGTGCTACTCTATTAGGACACCATTATGTATCTACAGCAAGTTGAATAATTTGAGTAATCTCAGATTATTTCTTGATCTTTTGCTTTCAGTAACGCCAATGTCAAGTCTAAATGACATAGTTGGTTTCCTTGATTTTACAGGTTTTGACTGGAAAGATACTGTGTACAATTCAGGGGGGGTGTAAGACCTCCAAGGTCAATGTATCAGGTCTATATTTGTACCTATAATTAACAAGCTTTACTTTTTCTACAGTTCAGACAAAAGAATAGCAATAGATCTGTATTTTTTGGCACATGACCAGTGAGCTGCCATATACCATAGCTACTGATGTTTTTCTAATAGACCTAAAAAATCTGTACCTGGATGCTTTGAATACTTGATTCTCCAAAAGCCCATGGCCTTTTCGAAATAATCTCATTTGTACTAGCTCATCAACAGAGGAAATGGACAGCAAAACAAGTACCTTTGCACAGACATTCAATTGCTTTCACTGCTGTTCCAAGGACTTTAATTACAACAGCATCGCTGAGGATATAATGAAGCCTGAGTAACAAAGTTTAAACATTCTGATGCTATCTATAAACTTCAGTAGGGAAAATACAGAGAGAAATGGTTCTCATTTCATCTGGAAAAGCTTATATAGAGATAATTGCAATGCAGCATTGAGAATGGATTTTTACACCAGTCACTGCTGAAAGGATTTTTAACTAGTTGTATTTTAGAGAGCATTGTGTAGCTACCTATAGTTTAGCCTGAGTAACGTTATCTATGGTGCTGAGCTTTCAGGAACGACTTCAAAAAAGATGCACTGCAATCCAGCTTTAATTAGATTTATTGCATGACCTTCAGCAACTCTCTCAACTGCTGTTCATAACACCACCTCTAAAACAGGAGCAGTGGCATCACTTAACCTCTCTCCCCCCAAAAGACTATGAAGCTCAGTGACGCTTGCTTTGGTTTCCTAACTCTTGGAAGGGCAAAGTGTGGGAATTTCTATGCCAGCCTGGGATCGTATGGTACCTTTCAATAATGCAGGAGGTTGCCTCGTGGCTGATGGAAGAGGAGTAGGTTTGCCAGTCTCCATTTGGCAGTTCTCGCACTTGTACTGTAAAGTATCGTATTGGTGAAGATCCATCACTTCCAGGGACCCATGTCAACAGCAGACTCCGTGATGTCACATCACCCTGGGGGGTCATCACCTGCCTGGGAGGTGCTGGTCGTTCTGCAAGTAAACCACAATTTGGTGCTGCTTTGAGAGGCAATTCAAGCTAACGTGAAATGTGATCTGATTTTCATAGTGGTAACGCCACAGGAGATTGCACTGTTGGATTTGCCCCATGTAGTATAAAAGCCATCCCATTTTTTAAGCTTCTGTTGCAAAGAGCAGTAAAACTGATTTTTATCTCCCTGCATGAAAGGTCACCATTGAATATACATCTTCCTAGAAACAGACCTCAAACTTGGTCTTAGCCTGGCAGGTTAAGGAAGAATCACTAGGACGAGCAGCCGAGCAAACCAAGCAAATCTCTAATGAAACTTAGCTATGTTTCCAGCTGCAATCACTCTTTTGACTGGATTTGCCTGTAAATTAGTTTACTTTTTAACCTATGCTTACTGCTTTTTTAACTATTTACTACTTGGTACCATGGGACTGTGTTCTCCATCTGCTACGTAGCATCCTTTTCCACCAGCTGCACCCTAGCTGAGGCATGAAGAAGAGGAAGGGATGAGCTGGAACAGGCTGCTGTGTAGCAGAGTCCAAGTGCATGACTTACATCTGATACTGAATTCCTGCACCAGCTCACTCTGGCAAGGAACTGGGAACCAGCACCAGCTCCTGCTGCTTCCAAACCCCAGCTTGGATATAGTGCAGAGCTGGAGCTTGAGCACCTGCTGCAGTTCACTTCCAGACCTCCCTAGTTCTTCTTTTCATACCCACTAACCTTGAACCTGCGAAGTCAAACCAGCCAGTGCCAATGCTGAGGAAGATCTCTTCAGAGTAATTACCCATACACCTTTTAGATGAGGCAGGGAATGGTAATGCAGGTGTAAGCATGCCAGTCCCCAACTGTTCCAATATAGATCTCCTTTCCCGTCACTGTGTCTCCGCACTCCATCGATTTCAATAAAGAAACTCTATAGAGTGAGGAATAATTATTTAATTGTTTATCATGAAGATTATTGATTCTGATTAAAATGTGTGGCATGTAATAAAGCAGGAATTGATTGGAGACACCACAGTGACTTGCTTTTGAGAAGCAATTCAATTCAACTTCATCAGCACTTGTTTCCACAAACACACCTCCGCCTGCCCGACTCCTCACAGTACCGGCATGGTGAGCACTTCATTTCCCTGCCATTCCCTAAAACCATTTCCTGTATGTTTTGGCATTTCTCTGCAGCCTGCTCTTGCTGACATCAGTGCCCAAAGACTTGTAAGCTATTAGCTGGAGGAAGCCCTCAGTGCCAGCAGCCTGTGAGCTAGAGTACAATGCAAAAGGTCAATGCCTTACACTGACAGGCTGAGACAGGTATTCAGGGTTACTCTATCAGAGGAAGCAAGTGTCGTGCAGGGATTTAATACTCTCTGCTGATAAGCTTTAACCAGCTTGCAGTTTTGGGGCAGGTCAGATCTTGCAGTCAGTCTCCCATGATTGGGTTTCCTTCTGCTGCTAATGGGAGATCCTTAAAATCTCATGTGTTGCAAGATACACTTCCTGACTGTTTGTACAAATCCATTAGTATAAAGTGCTTATTTACAGGATTTTAAGCCCCAAGCAAATGCTAAGGTGAGCTCTTTGTGTAGGAATGTGAGGCCAGACCATATGACTCAATGAACTACTTTTAACTTCTCACTACGTTTACATTTTCTGACTGTTCTGCCCTGATCACTGGCATTGACTATTGTGGAGGGTATCACACCGCTGCGTAGATTCAAAGCACTACAGAAGAACCTCTAGCCAATACAGCTACAATGCAACTTGGGATCTAGAAATCACAGCCATCGTTGTAAAATGTAAAGATTGGTATTGAGATTATCCAAGGAATTTATACAGACAAGAGTGTCCAGTTTTGCTAATTTTCAAGGGAATTTTTGTGATTGCCTACTTTAGCATCAAGGACTACATGCATTTTCATTAACAGAAATCAAGTATCTTTTCACTGTAGTGTATTGTTATATACACAAGTTTCAGGTCGGTTTGTTTGTTTAGTTGTTAGCAGAATAGCTGCACTGGATAAGTTTCTTTATCATCCCCTCATCACTCTTGCTGATGTGAGATTACACATTCTTCTCTCTACCCTTTACATATGGGATCACTTCAGTTAACTCTCAGTGCCTTGGGACTCGGTTCTGTAGCATGCACAGAGACACAGCAGAGCCATCCATCAAACAGAGAAAGGGTTCATTTTATACTATGACTTGCCTATTCAAGATAACCCTAAAGCATTGATAGCAACAAGGGATCATTGTTCCTGCAGCGGAGCTGGAAGTTCTGCCTTGAGCTATTGTGTATCCAGCAACAGCTTGTGCACGGTCTGAGAAATGTGAGTGAGCACATTTTATTGAAAAGGAAAGGCTCTGAGCTTTGAGTATTCACTTTATTGGGCATGGTGGATCTTTCTGAAACTTCCACATGTTGGACTTTAAACTTTGACAGCAATCAGACAAGGGTGGAAGAAATCTTGAGCTGATAAATCTCTTTGACGGACAGTAACTTTAGCAGAGGCAGTTTAAGTTTCCTAATACAGCCCTCAAGGTTCTTTTTCTGAGAACTGCACTGTTATGCACTGGGGAGGCTGCACATGACCTGGAGAACTATGCCAGTGGGAATTTTAACACCAACCAGGCAGGCCAGAAGTAGTTGAATTGCACCCCACAGATCCTCACTGCTGGTGGTTGAACACCAGGCCAATATCCTCTTTTTTAGAAGAGCTATAGGAGAATTATAAGGAAGACACTGTGGGAAAATAGCACGAGAAATCCTTACTCTTGCTCTAAGTAATCTGCAAGGTGTACAAAGGACTTAATGCAAGAGTTTGCTAGTAGGCACACTTTAAGAATTAAAACTAAATATAACTGGTTATATTATAGAGCAAGGCTTGGGCAAAAGCCAAGACCAGGCACACAAGCACATGCAAAAGTGCTAACAATAGTTGAAAGACATCAGTGGAAGTCTGCCCTAGTTACCTGCTGAAGTGTGCTTCTCTCTGAACTGGGATTTTTAGAAATCTCAGAAGTTGCATAGTTCTAATTTTTGAGGAAGTTTTCTTAAAGATCAATATCCAACAGTGCAATGGGTCAGGGTGGAACAAAATCCAGTGATGCACAAGTGAGCCATGCTGACATATGGTACAAGACCAGAGGAAAAACCACACTCATGTTCTCTACCAACATATTCTCTTTTAGCTCTGAATTTAAAAAAATAAGAAATGCTCATGCAGAGGCAGAAAATACACTTTTTCTAACTGGCAGCTCTAGAGATCTGTTCTAAGACTGGAGAATGGAGCAATTACTTAGCCAAAGCATTAGAAGCAAGAAGGATGCAGAGCAGATTCTGCAATGCTTTGTCTTTCACATTTTGATATGTTTGGTATCTAAGCATCTGGCTTCATTTATACATATGTAACTCCTGCTTTCTTCAAGTAGGGTCCCTACAGAACAGAATTTGATTGGAGATTCAGAATGCAAATAACCATTTTATGGCTGATACAAGAAGGAGAAAAATTCTGGGCAATCCAGATGCAAACACTCTGCTTGAATGTGCAGCAGAGAAAGGCCAGAGTAATTACTAACACATTAGGTCAGGACTGACGTACAATGGAAGAGCCATGGAGAAATCCTGCAACATCACCTCTCATTTTGCATTCTCTAATCAATATAATTCATCCATCACTTACTTTCTTAAGATTTCAATCTTTCTAGAAAATGAGAGAGTGGAAAAAAAGATCTGACTGCAGAAGGAGGCTGCATATGGCCAATATAGCAGCTGATGGAAAAATCAATCTCCAACAGCCCGGCAGGTTAGAAGAACTGTGTCTCATAAAAGTCTGTCCTGCTCACCAGGTTTCTCAAATCATGATGTTGCTATGGTTTGGGGTAGGTTTATGGGGTGAGAAGGAGGAGGTGTACAGGCTGTAGCCTGTTATTAAAATTCCCCTAAGTGCAGCACAGGCTCCAAGGCATGCAACAGAATGTAATTCAACCTGTGGGTGCAACCATTACCTCTTTTTTCTGTAGTGATCACTGTGGCTTCCAGAGGCTCCCCCCAGCCCTGCCTGGTCTTGGCAGATGTCCGAAAGATGTATGCTGACTCAGGGGTGAGATCTGTAGCAGTAAACTGCCTGACTGTTGAGCCAACCTCCACCGTTGTGAATTTGTTCGGGCTGCTGCTGGCCAGACGGTAAGCGATTTGATACCCTGAAATCACAGCGGCAAGAGGAGAGAGAAAAAGAGTTAGGATTCTTTTTCTAGCAGGTACAAAAGAGTTTAACATAATTACTTGTTTACCCGATGCCAAAGTAATTTACTTCCTTTAGTGTTATAAAACTCTGCTCTACAGCAGACCCTTCCCCCCTGCCCACTCTGGCACCATACATTAAGAGTGGAAACACACAGTGGCACACAAGGGTCTACCAAATATTATCTGCCACGAAACAGATTTCACTTCCCATTCCTTATACTAAGAAGATACAAAACCAGCTTAATCTTTCCTGAGCGTACTGGTAGCATTTGGAAAGGCAAAGGAACAAACTGAGTCCGTGCAACTAACGTCACCTGGTTGAGCCAGTTCAAGACAACGCTCTCTGTTTCAGCTTTCCACCCAAGCACACATGTGCATGCACACACACTTTTATGCTGTTCCACCCTCTCACAGGCTCAAACTAAAGGTTCTTCAGCTGCAGAGCAGCTGGACTGCCCAAACCATGCAACCCCCACACTGCTCAAGTATAGGTTTGCTCCTGCTTTTAGCACTTGTCTTTTTCTCAGCTCTCCCACTCCCCTGTATCTGTACAGCGAGTGCCAGAACTGCCAACAAAAGCATCCTTCTGTCGTTCCACATTGCTGCCTTTGCCCACAGCCCAAGCTGCAAGGTCCTGCTTCAACCAGACAGCACTTAATAATCAATTTTGTTGATGCCTGTAAGTGATAACCCCCATTCCAACCTGCCTGATAATTAGGCCTTCACAGTTTAGGCTGTATTATTAATGATCCAACTGTGCAAAGGAGGGTTTCCAGAGTCCTCACGCACCACTAACAACAACTGTCCCCCAAAGAGGATCTGCCAAATGTTCAAACCCATTCTGTAAATCCTGCAACTGAATCAGGCTTTCACTTCTGGAGCTCAATGGTAACTTTCAGTCCAGCTGCTGACTTCCAAAATCAATTAATACCAGAACTGGTGTGGGGCTTTTATTGCCCAAGCTGAATACAGTTGTATGATTAAACGCTTCATGGAGTTACACAGGGCAGAGGGCAGCCAACAAATCCAAATCAAACCAGCTGAAAACAAAACAGTCATGACATGATTCTGCCAACCCTTTGCTCATCTTCTGAATGAGAAAGGGGTCTACAGCACCTGAGACCATCTTTCTCTCTTGGAATTAATATCCCAGCTAGAGTTTGAACTCCCACCACATTTTGGCTGCAACAAGAACAAGGGAAGCCAAACCTGGCGTGCTTCATTTATAAAGGTCAGTGCATGAAAAATGTGATTTTTATCTTACCTGTGGCTATTACACAAAAGCAATGACATTTATTTCCCCACTGTGAATATGCATCAATTGCCACATGCCTACTCACAGAAAAAGCACAGAGTTCCAATGCTCTCCTGAATGAATGACATACTTGTGTGTGGTGCACGCTGTCACAAACAGTGGAATTTAATTGGGATACAGATGGTATGAATTTTGGTGTGCTGACTCTCACTGTGCCGTTGACGATGCACCAGTGTTTCCCTTTCCTCTTTTCTGTGGCAGCTGCTAAGGGATGTGGGGCAACAGCTGTAGCTGCCTCACATGGAACAAATTTGATGGCACTGATACCTCAAAGAGTGACTTGGCTTTTCCAAGCACCTGTGGCTTTAGCCTGAGCTCTCATGGGCTGCAGTTACAAATAGGTTTGGGTACAGAGCTGATTTCACTGCAGTGCCTTAACGTGCTGCAAGCACCCATGTTTGAAAAGGGGCATCAGCAGTGAAAGGCTCTCAGCACCTGAGGGCTCACCTTGTGCTGCCTGGGGTACTCACACACACTGTGGCAGCTGCTCTGTCAAGCATATTCTTACAGTAACATCTCCACAGCTGGGTGGATAGCATTAGACTACTTAAAATGCTGGATGGAATGTCCTATGAGGAACAGCTAAGGACTTTGGGCTGGTCTAGTTTGGAGAAAAAGAAGCTGAGAGGTGACCTTATCCCTCTCCACAGCTTCCTGAGGAGGGGAAGTGGAGAGGGAGGTGCTGACCTCCTCTCCTTGGTATCCAGTGATAGGATTCATGGGAATGGTTCAAAGCTGCACCACAGGAGGTTTAAACTCAACATTGGGAAGCATTTCTTTACTGAGAGGGTGAACAAACACTGGAACAGACTTCCCAACAAGATGGCTGACACCCCAAGACTGTCAGTGTTTAAGAGGCATTTGGACAATGCCCTTAACAACATGCTTTAACTTCTGGTCAGCCCTGAAATGGTCAGGCAGTGGGACTGGATGATCACTGTAGGTCCCTTCCATCTGAAATAGTCTATTCTGATAAAATAGATAAAAAGTGGCCTGATTTTTCAGAGCTGCTGAGCATGCTTAGATCCCAGCAAAGTCTTGGGGTATTACACTTTGAACATTTCTTTTTTCCACCTGCAAACTACCTCCTTTTATCCACAACACCAGCTCTCTCATTACTGATCCAATATATCTCACCAAAGTATTGCTGTACCTATAATATTTTGATCATTTTAAAATCCTCAGAAAGCCAGCAGCAAAGGGCGTAAGGAATTGATATACTACAACTATTTTGTTTATACACATTGGAAGAATGCAGGAGTGGAAACCCTGGTGTAGGATCCTTATAAGGGGGGAAAATAGTCAAAGAAAAGCATGGCGGAAATTCTTACAGCAGAGGGAAGATGAAGGAAGAAGCAACTGAGATGGCTGAAGAAGTTTGATAAAGGGACATAAGACAGAAAGAATAAGACCTAGAGGGAAACAGAGAATATTAAAAGAATAGAAAAATTGATTTATCTAGTTATTAAAAGATAAGTCTGATATCTGGGACATATCCTTGTTGAGTAATTTCCTCACTTTTCTAAACCTCTTAAAATACAAAGTGTAGTTAAAATGTAAAGAGGGAATAGAAAGATAACTATTTATTGCTAACTGGTGGTACTCATGCTAGAAAGCCAATTACAAACATGCTCAGATTAGGCAAAAGAACACATAAGTATCTAGGCCATTATAATAACTTACACAAGAGCGGATCCTTGGCTAGTGTGAAAACTAATTTAGCCATGAGAAAGAAGAAATCACTTGTCACAGCCTGTCTCTGACATGCTCCGCAAACTCCCTGTCAATGCATCCCTGTGAAAAACACTATCGGCCCTCACTGTCCTCTCCTACATCTGCTGTGTTGGCTGACAGTCTGGATAAACATCTCTTTTCCTGGATATCTCAGGCAGAGTTTACACATCCGGAGCCATCACCTTTACAGATTCCCTCAGAAACTCAACACTTCTCTTGCTCTGATTCAAAGGTACATATCCAATCTCTGCACCTGAACTCAGCTTACTCTTATTGCCACCTACAACTCACCCAAGAGATACCTTGTATCCTAATTCTGATCCCCTACATCACCTTCTCCTATTTGGGACAGCGAGGAGACACACTAGCATAAAAGGCATCACTTTTCTATGAGTGATACAGAAGACACAGTATTTAAACTACAGCTTGGATGATAATTAGGGCTAATGCAAGATCAAAAAGATAAAATTATTAAGATGATGCATTTCAGCAACAAGGGAAGGGAGAAGACATGAAATGTTAAGTGAAATCAAAAGGTAAATCAATAGAGGTAAATGGAAAGTGTTCAAAGAGAAATTAATGTATGCTCGAGGGCTATGAGAGGCAATAACTGCAATTGCTCCAACAGAGGAATAAGGAAGCTTCTTTCCCTTACTAGATTATGACAATAAGATGTCACAGGTATTTTAGATTTAAAAAATTAATAAAATCAAAGGTTATGAATGAAAGTAGAATCTTTGAAAGGTGATCACATCTTTTGGGGGAAAGAGTATCCTACAGAACATGAAGTATCTGGATTAAGAAAAATTCATATTGTTTTGTTCATTTTTCTTTCTCCCCCCACAGCATTAGATCCCAACTCTCTTCTGCTATTGGGAGTTCTGCCATTCACCAGGCAAAAACAGCATTAAAAAAAAAGCCCTGAACTCTTCAGCAGTTTATTTATTCATTGAAACTTGGCTTATTTTTTGCATTAGCATCTTCTTAAGTATTTTTTGCACAACTGCAAGCAGTTTCATGAGCTATGCTTTCTGAACTCAATAAATGGCAACAGTCTGAACTGCCTGTTAAATGTTAGGTCATTGTAACACAACCAGTAGATTCCCCAAAGCAAACAGGCAGGAAGATGACAACACACTATGAATATAAAAAAGCTTTCAAGCTCATCACCATACAAAGCCCTTCAGAACTGACAGCACCCATTCACGCAGGCCATGGTGCAGCAGAGATACAAACACTTATTAATTTGTCACAGAACTTAGGGAAAGCCAAATAATATTGGGAGGTGATGCTCTGCCCAGTGGAGCAGCAATCCAGTGTGTTGATTTTACTGCTTATCTGTTTAAGGGCCAACGGGTGTGCAAATGCAGTCTAGGATCAAAATATGAATTTGCAAATATGGATTACATTCAATTTCAATCTAATTCTCACTGGAGTTCTTATGCTCTCTTGCAATAAGCTGCAGGTAAACGCTAAATACAAGGATACCACGAGGAATACTAACCAGGGCCCGGAAGGATGCAGACTGAGCTCATGTTTGCAAGGGAAGCTCATAGCTAGAAGTGAACATATCACATTAATGCATCTTTTTGCTTTAATAGTATTTGGAGGAACTATGGTGGGTGCTAACTGAGCTGAGCGCAGGGAAGAAGGAGCGAAGCCTCAGTGTAATATTCCCAAAAGGATTAATGACAATACCTAGCAGTCTTCCATGGTAAAATATTTAAACAAACAAACAAGTAGTTTTCCCTCTTGGTGCCTGCCAGTATCTCATCCTGTTAATCTCTCTCTGAAATGCTAGAACATGTTTTGATATAGATTACAAAAATGTTAGCTGCAAAGGTGCTTGTATGCTCAGAGGACAAAGCTAGAAGAGGAACATTAGTTCAAAGGTTTTGAGTAAAAGTTGCTCTTGCAAAGCAAGTGTTTTTTTCTTTCCAATCCCACTAGTGAATAAAAGGGCACTGCACAAAATTATGTTAACTTATTTTTTTAACAACTCTACTTCAGTGCACTTGACTGTGGGGGCTACAATGGTGTTTTCAAAGTTCATTACAGTAAAGAGATCTAAAAAGTGTACAGGAAAGAAAAAAATAAACTTGCCACCTTCATTTAGAATCCCACACATGGGTTTTTGTCTATTTTTGAAGCCCAACTTCTTAGAAAAGATCACAGATGTGCCAGCACGTGTAATTTTGACTTTTCTCTCTGCCACTGGAGCTACTCCATGAACCTCAATATTTTACTATCAAAAAATCAGAGTGAGAACTATTGAATAAAGACAATGGATTTCAAAGGGGTGGAGTGGAGGAACTGGCAGGTAACATCCCCCTGGGAAGGAATTCTAAGGGAAAAAGGAATTCACTTTAGCTGACAGTTTTAAGAGGCAAAAAAAAAAGGCACAATATGTTTGCATTGAGAGCTCACTAATGACCTGAAAATCAAAACTGAATTGGACAAAAGGTTGAAATGGGACACGTCTAAGGGAGCATATAAATAGACAGCACAAGCGTGTAGGAAATCAGAATGGCTGAAGTGCAAAGCGACTTATAACTTCAAGGGCATCAAAGGCAAAAAGAAAGGTTTTATAAATACATTAGAAATCTGAAAGACAGGAGGACAGGTCAACTACTGGGAAGAAAAGAACACAAGAAAGGAGAACCAGAAAAGAATGGAAGGCTGATACCTCTGTTGCTTCATTTTCACACACACAAAAAGTTGACGCTGATTAGATACTTAACACAAATTAAACCTGACAACAATATAAGTAGGGATGTAGGCTGGAATAGAGAACAGGTTAACGAATATTTAGCTAAGCTAGATGTAATCAAGTCAGAAAGGCCTGATGAAATTTGCCCCATGGTGCTTTTATATCTAGCTGGAGCCATCTCCAAATAATTACTGATTATCTTCAAGGACTTGTGGATGACAGGTGACATCCAGAATATTACAAAAGGGCAAACAGAGTACCCTATCTTTTAAAACAGGGAAATACCAACCAGAGGAATTATGGACAAATCAAGCTGAAGTTCAGTATCTAGAAAGATCCTGGGGAAAAAAGTCAACATAGAAGCATCCATGAAGATGATAAAGTGCCAAGGCATGGCCAATATATATTTGTCTGGAGAACATAATAAATATCAAATAATCTGTTTTCCATTTTGCCAGTGTAACTGGCCAGGTAGGAAGAGTACATATGATCCACATTGACTTTAAGTAAGGATTTAACATGGTTGCACATAGGCCCATCAGAAGTAAACAAGAGAAACAGGATCTAGGAAAAATACTACATATTTTGACTTGAACACTTGAAAAAATAAGTTGAAATATTACCAATAGTCTGCCAACAAATTGGGAAGACATTAAGTGAGCTTTCAGTGAGACCTCATGGATGAGTCTGGTTCTGTTCAATATCATTAATGACATGGCTGATGGAATTGCAGTCTACTTGCAAACTCCAAAAATGAAACCAAATTGTGAGTGACTGTGCACATTTCTGAGGCCAAGAGTGTCATTTAAAGTGATCTTGATGATGAGGAGAGATGGTCTGGAATCTGTAAGATGAAATTCAATAAAGGCACCTGCAAATTACCATGCTTACGAAGAAAAAGCTTAATGTACCTATAAAAGAGGGACTGACTGACCTGGAAGTGTACTGCAGAAAAAGGGTAAGAATGAATAGTGGGTCATAAACCACAGTTACACCATCAGTGTTGTAAAAAAAGTCAAGTCAGGACAGCATCAAGTATCCTGGGATGTGTTACTGGGAATGGACTGTGCAAGAAACAACAGTCTACATGCTAAGCATGCCAAGAATTCTTTAAGGGACACCTTTCCCCTTCCCTTCCAACCCTGCATTTGTATGATCTTATCATCAACATAGTGGCAATGAGGAAGAACAAACTAAGAAGGGGATGAATTGCACAAAGCACTCTGCAAAGACAAAATAAAACAGAGTTCCTACTCCACCAAGCTTGCAACATCAGCAAATAAGGCTGACAAAGTGCAGCAACCTGAGACATTGGAATGCAGTGGGGAGAGCAAAATCACTTTTGTACTTTCTCATCATTTCTATCAAATGACTTTTTTTCCTCCTTAACCGCATCCTGTGATTCAAATCCCAGTCTCTACTGAGAACAACTTCTAGGACATGCGGTTCCTTAAATAAAGCAACAAATCAAACCCACAAGACAACCTGGAAGCCAAGCTTCCTCAAGCTGCAGAGAAACCCTGCATGGATCTGTCTTTGCCTGCTAAACTCCGCCAAGCTTCACAGGGACTCTCTTCTCGTGCCTAGAAAATCCCTGCAGCACCCGCCTTCCAATCCCATTTGATGATTTTCTCTGCATCTGCAGGCATCAGGATCACTTTGGGAAACTGTATACCTGAGAAAACATTTTGAGTTCTTGACTCTTAAATGCAATGCAAGACTGTTTCTTTATTTATAGGGATGCCACCATGGCAGTAGCATTTGAAGCAGGCACTCTCCACCAACAATGAAGGCTTTAGGGAATATTGCTAAAACACACAAGTCTGAACGATGGCAGTGAAATTAGAAGCAGAAAGGCCCGGCAGAGTGAGAACTAAACAAAACCCAAAAGCTTTTGCTTCTGTTTTCAGAATTGAGAGACAAATCTTTACTCACCAGCTAGAACTACCGTTAAATATGTTTAACATCAGCAGAGGACAGAATATTTCCTGGTAACTACTAGCTACTTTAATTTCAGAGGCAGTAATGGATTCTTACATTGTAAAAGTCTTCACGTTTTAAGTACAAGTAGCAGCTGGTGTGCATATTGCAAAAGCAACCCAAGAGTTAAGAGAGCAGGAAGGTAAGGTTTTTCCCAAATTCCTGTCGTGCCTTGCTGCCTCTATTTCCCTTGATGAAAAGCCAAAGATGAGTTAGCTTCTTGCAACATGTCAGGCAGTATTATACAAAGGAAGCCATAAAATGGAAGCACACATGAAACAAACGTTGGGCATGCCTGGCAAAGGGAGGGGAGGAAAGGAGAGGGAATTCCAGCTCTCCCCTGCTGCAGCTCTACAGGCAGTTTTGTCCGACAGCAGCCAAACAGGTTAGAAATCCCAATGTGGACAATTCAAACAGTGCCATGAATGACATGTAATTCTGCCTCCAGAAAACAAACACTATGGAACTGGGAACACTTGTCCTCAGCACAGTGTACCATGTCTCTCAGCTGACATCAACGTATTTTCTTTAGCCACAGATTTACTTTTGCGTGGTTGCTAATCCAAGATGCCAGGGGAAGGAAAACCCAACAGCCAGAGCTCGCTCTGGTCCCCAGCCCTCTCCTCTCAGCCCTGGGTTTGCAGCTCCCCCTTACCCAGAATAATTCCATTGGGCTCCTCTGGCGGCTGCCAAACGATCCGTACAGATGTCAACCTCACCTCGGGGAACACCAGCCTCACAGGTGGCCCAGGGGCTGGAAAGAAAGACACAGATCATGTTAGCATGTCAGAATTACAGGTTTGCTCTTCACCTTGCACAGAAGGAGTATCTTATCCATAGTAAGTAGATGGTTAGGGGCACACACATAATACACATTTCCTCTGAGGAATCCTGTTCATGGCTAAATACCTACAGCACCCATGGACACCAAACATAATGCAGAAACAAGTGCACCCTACAGTGTCTTCCTACACCTGTGTTTAGCAGGATGCTGACAAAGGAGCTCTGTGTTATCCCCCAGCAGTGTAGTGGGGAGTCCCTGTAACTGACTGCATACTACAAAGCAAGTCACGAAGCTGCCTTTCCAGAGAGTTACGTGTCAGCTTTATCCACTTCATACCTGTTGTAATTGAATAATATCTCCTCTCTCTGTGTCATCAGCACTGGCTTTGAACTGCCTTCTGATTTTACATATGCATTTTAAGCACTTAGGTCTGAGCAGGAGAACCTGAGGTAGGCAAGATGTACATTAATACAGACGGCTGGTGGCTGCACTGACCATCCCAGGTTCACAAGGTGAGGAGATGCTAATTCATACACTAGCATCTGCAAAATTTCCCCTTCAGCACAAATTCTACCTGCATTACCCCTGATGATACTTTTAATTAAGTTGAGGCTAGAGGAGACACAACATATTTCTGTCAGGGGTATGGAAATGGAAGTACAATTTGTATCATTTGCCAACATGCACTTACGGAGGGAACTGCTATAATGGGGTTATCCAAAACAAACAGTTTTAAACATTTCTCATTATAGTCTGATATGTACATTTCAGTGAGTGCTTTTTCTCTCCCTGCAGAGTTCTGCTTACAGTAATTTCTCCTTGTTTCCTTTCAAAGAAAAGCCAAGTCCCCACATAAGCAGAATGATGAGAAAAGGACTAATAAAATGTCAGGGAGCTGCTGTCCCTCTTCCCATCCCCATCCCTCCATGCTCTTACTCCTTCCCTGCACTCCATTTAAAATATCTCGTTAAGCCAGAAGTCTGAAGGTGTCTTCAGCCCAACCAAATTACCTTAATCAAGTCGCTGGTAGAAACCAGTGTTTATTCCATTAAGATGCTGAAAAGATTTTGATGAAAAAAAAGACTTTGTTGTTTTTTTTTTTTTGGTTCATCTTCATTGGGAGCAATAAACAGAAGCCTCTCGCACTGACATTAACCTTCACTTAATACTGAAGAGGTAATGAAGCTAAAAGTAACTTTATCATCTGCAAAGCTAAAAGTATTTTAAGAGTTGGACTGAATTTCTGTAGAACTC